TATTGGTCCAAAGGAGAAAATTCTGTTTATAAATGGTGCTTAACCCTGGATTATTCTACTGCAACTATCTTTATCAGTTTTTTTATACTTTTTACATAACATCCTGAAGAGTAATGTATTTCGGAAAGTCCCTTATATGTAGATCTTTTCTTAGTGTTTTAATTAAGAGTCCACTTTTTGAAAGGGTTTCTAATAATAAAAGTTATCGTATTCATCGTTAACAATATTAACTGGGCAAAAAATTAATAAATACTAAATATCAATATTTACGAACTTCTTTTTAGATCTACATATTAAACCCCATTAATTTTAATTGCATGAGTCGATTTTTAAATAATGTATATTCAGTAAAGAAAAGAGTGGACACTCTGTTTTCGTTTTTATTCTTTTTGGTTGATTATTTTTGTAGAAAATTGGTTTCTCCCAGTTATGTAAGTTTAAGTATTTGATATAATTAATATTATTGGTTTTATCTTTAATTCATTAGTGAAATCACAATTTCTAATCAGTGTCTACACACACGTTGTTAGTAGAATCGTCGAAAACTTCTCTTACTATTTATAACTATTAACTATCGTCCCTTTATTTAAAACAAAGAAAATGTCAAAAATATTTTTGCGAGTGGTATTTTCCTGTTCAACTAGTTTTCAGTAAGAAGTAATTTATACAACATAAAATAAACAGCTCTATATCAATCTGCTACTACTCCGTTGACTACGTTTATGAATTCTTAACTATTTTAGTTGTTGATCCAATGCTCAATTACCTTCTAACTGATTCAATGTGGAAACAAGAAAATATTGTGTTTTTTTATTTTAAACATTTTTTATTGATGTTGGAAATCAGTATAACTACATTAAGTGTTCAACTACATAAAGTATTCGCTTTGTTATAATCGTTAGATAATAATTATTTTTCTTCTTTGCATTATATCTTGCTTTGAGCTACTACTATTATTTACTTACCAGCAAACCGCCTGTGTTCTACGTATTCCCTGTAATAGTTCAGGATAAATAAGCCATTCATGGAATTTTCAGTGTGCTGTGGTTCTAGATCTTTCTACATTTTCCATTTAATCGTTTGCGGATTACGTAGCATCTGCTACAATGTATTTATTCCGACTTTGCATTGAATAGCTATGGCGAAAATATGTATACTACGTACTTCACCCTTAACTACCACATTATTGGAAGTGTAGTAAGACTACGTCCCTAGTACGCACATTATTCGTGTTCAAAATCTCCAGAATCGACTCGACTCTTCAATAATATTGAAACTGATTAAAACATTGGCATATGAAAACTTAATCCACGTGGCAATCAACACATTTGACAGCTGACTGACCTGTCATTTTGAGAGCGGGACAGAACCGTCCCTAACCTATTTTTATTTTCTAAGAAATGACGCGTATTTTGTAGTGTGTTAATGTGTTCCTAGTAAAGTAAGTATTTTAAATATATAATAATTTACAGCTTACAAAAGCAACAATTTTTTACTGCCGTGAGAATGCAATGAAAATAGTAACCGATTTATTTAAAATTACTTAAACTTAAATATCTGGGAAATTATTAACTTCTAATATATTTTAGACTTTATAATTTTAATTTTATTCATTACACTGCTGGCAAACATTTTATCAACTTTTACGATAAACAATGTCACTTTCTGATGTGCTAATAAACAAAGTTCTTGGTCGGGAAAAGAAGACAAAGGCGATATATCCTAAAGCTGTATTTGGATTCTCTTTGGACACTCTACCCAAATTATTCGTTTAATCATCGACCAACCTGAATATAGAACAAATCTGAATAGTATATAGGAAATTATAACAGACCATAGAACTAGTATGGTATGGTGTGGCATAAACTTCCGATAGGCCACGACATCAGATGTTGAAGATAATCCTCCCATAGAGAATAATATTTCCTAGCAACTAAAATTAATTTAACCGTATACGCCGATAATAGTGTTGTATTGAATTCCGTTGATGTAGAAGGAATATAAACACTGGAAAAAGTTCATTCATGGGAGTTGGGAGGCAGACTAATGTGGTAGTTGGGCTTTTTAAGACAATCAAACGGCATAAAGTTGTAGTAATAATATCGAATTTGAATACGGAAACACATAGAATGAAACACACAGAAGCTGTTTTTAAAACAATTAAATGTTTACTTTTACTGCAAAATAAAACATAATTACCTTGGAATGATATTATTAAACGATAATATTAACACAATCGTTAATAATTTATACTTTTTATTAGGCTTCCCATATTTTGAAGGTTTGAAATAAGGCTGATTTGGGCTTTACTTGTGAAATTAAACGGCCTGGATTTTTGTACCTTTTTATTACGTGAAAAACAAATTCATTATGCCTTATATCACCGAATATTGCAAAATATACTTATACTAAAGAAATAAGATAACATAATACTAACATTATTTCTGGGCGATGTGACTACGACCGTCTTCCCAAGCAACATTGGTGCCGCTCATATATTATGTAAGAAAGCTTAAAATAAAACACTTAAAGTTGGTCCTACGAGCCGGATCTTAAAATGTAGCGTTTTATTTTATAATTTCTTAATTCTATAAGGACGGATTGTAGAATTACAAGAACTGAATACATCTGATATGTGTTTTTTAAGATATTGAACTTAAAATATTTATGATTTGAAGAATAAACCGATTGGATATTAAAATATTTTAAATTGGAACTGTTTTGTTTGGCGTTTTCCTCCTTTATTTTAAAGTAGCAAATATGTATTGTCAATTATTTTGTGCCTCGTTTCTGGGACAATTTTATTGGAGGATATTTTATTTGATTACTTGCAGTTAACTCAAGAATTTGTCCTGTCAGACCAATAATTATGTGATTGGTCTTTAATAATACCACAGAATGTGTGATATCCAATGATGACTGTAAAATTATGTTGATAACAGTTCTTATCAGGAAGTGACGTTGTTTATTGCTTACTTTTTCTTTTGGACGTGTTGGTGTTAGTGCCTCCCTCACATAAATAATTTATATTGTATGATATACCAAGTCCAACCATTGCATTTTATTGAAATTTATACGAATAGTTTAAAAAACATTATTATTGTTGGCTTGATATTGGGCTTGATATACCGTGATAAATAATTTATAGTTAGTATAACTGCTTAGATTTGCTCTTTAATTAATGGTTTTATAGAAGGTTGATCTTCCCTAATTTAATAAAACAGTTTGCGAAAATATTTGACATTATTACACCGTTTACAAAAAAGTGGCATTATAAAAAAAATACACAGTTTTTTCACAATCTTGGGCGGAGAGCTTTAAAGGTACTTTAATCAGTATCTTTTCTATAAGTTTCTATCATTTGTCACTTTCGACATCATTATTAGCATATAAAGTACCTTTATAGTTCTTACCTAAATATGTTAATAATTATGAACCAACTATATAAATAATTTATGAAAAAAATACTATCCATTGCCATTTAGCTGTATACTCAACTACATTCCCACTGTTTTCTTAAACGTTCAGATACGACTGTTGAAAATTTGCCCATTTCATAACAAAACCTCTATTTTTTACGACCTCCAGAATTATTTGAGGCATGTTTTAATCAGGGATTGGCACAATTCTGCTCAAACTCAAAATTCTATAAAAGAATATTTTGAAGTATTCGCTTCAATTCAGGGATTGTTTTTAGCGGAATGTTTACGAAACACTTTCTTTGTCTCAGACCAAAAACTTTCTATAGGAGACAGGTCGGGACTATTGTAGGTCCTTTTAAAAAATATATATGGTATATTTTAGTTTTCTATAAATTTCGAAACTCTTTCGAGGTATGGCATTCTGCACTGTCCTGTTAAAAGACAAAATCTTGTCCTATTGTCAAATATTCTTCCATAATCAGTAAAAAAGATCGTTCTAAAATGTCCAAATATTTACTTGTATATAAAATTCCTTTAATAATCTGCACTTTTTTTACACCTTTAGATAACACACTACTGCGAATCATCACTGGTGCAGGAAATTTCGCTTCGCATTCTCATTCACAGACAGTCAAAATGAAACGCTTCATTGATCTCATTGATTTGACCCTATTGCTAAAAAGTCTAGTTGTTATGTTCTGTTGTCCATTTTACCCTATTTTTCTTTTGCTGTGAACGTCAAAAGTGGCTTTTCTTTAGACTGCAACAAAAGCGAATTCGCACTATCGTTTCTATTCATTTTTAACCAAATAACATACTTTGCACGTATTAAATCCCAAATTGTAAGCCTCTCTGTGTCATGTGGATCTGGAAATTTTTTAGGAAGATTAATAACTCAAAAAAATGAAATTGTATATATGGTACCTTATTCTAAAATATCTGTTCCAAATTTTACGCAGAATCTTAAAATATACAAGGTTTTCCTTGTAATTATAATATAATAATAACAAATTTAATGATTACCTCCAGTATTAGTGGAAATGACAGCTATACGTCCCACGCGTGTGTATTAATAAAATAATATCGAATCGATTGGAATTGAATCGAATCGATTGGCATCGAATCCAATTGATTGAAATTAAATCGAATCGATTGTAATCGAATTGAATGGATTGGAATCGAAATCGAATTAAATCAATTGGGGTCGCATCGAATAGAATGGAGATGACTATTGGAATCGAATCAATTTAAACCACATGAATTAAATTAAAACCATGGACGTATAAATAAAGGACTTTATTTATACGTCCATGATTAAAACCATCGCTCCGTGTGTTTACTCAGTAACTCCCGGAGTGTCGCATCCATTTTTTTAGAGATAAGCCTGTGCACCGGACGTGAAACACCCTAGCATGTTATATTGCCACTCTTTTTCTTCAATTGTATCTTAAGAAATTTTGTTACAAACTGTGACACTTTTTGTGTTCCTGTTAATAAAGAGAGCTTTATCACTCTATAAAACCATTAATGTTCGCTTTTCTTAAACTGAAATAAAGGAACCTGAATATTTGCTTACAGAGATGGGTGTGACATGCGTCCCTCAGAACACCACCGCAACAGCGCCCACATGGCACACCTCCGAGGGCACACCTTGGGCAGATTGCCCTCCCACCATCACGAACCAATACTCGCTGGACCCAATAATGGAAAGTACGCGACTTTGAGCAAACAGTGCAAGACGCTAGAGAGTTCAGACTTCTACTGAGACAGGTAAAACCATATATTTATATGATACTCTACAACTTGATAATAAATATTCTCATGTTAACTTCTATTCAAAATTGGTATTTATTTATAATTCATTTGATTTTGACGTGACGGTTAATCTAGGATTTTGATTAGTCTAGGCTAGTCTAGGGCTAGTCTGTACTCATATAATAGACTATACTTTGTTTCTTAATGGTTGACCGCACGCTAAATGCTCAGAGGTTGTAAGCCTCTTTTTTTCCAATAATTTAAGAAGAATTTCAAATATCAAAAAGATACATTTAAAGGTGTACCCCTGTTAATATAGGCAAAATGCTTTCCCAGAATTAAATTATTTTCATTTTTTTGTATTCTATGGGATTAAAAAACAAGGCTCGCGCAATTTTAGCCCGTAACCCCTATTTCCTACCACCAATTTTACAAAAATGTTAATTTTCCGTTTTCATTTTTTTAGATGGGATGCAATATATTCACACGCATAGTTGAGGCTTTTACAAAACTTGTCAATTCTTTATAGACCCATAGATTGAGTTTAAATAACCTAAAAATACATATATATATATTTTTTTTAAATAAGCCTACTTATTTTGGAAGTGGCTGTAGGTCCAATTTTTTTATTTGTGTATTGAATCAAAGTATGTATATGTAAGTAATGTATATATTATATACACTTGAGTGCAAAATAATCGACTCAAAAGCGATATTTGAGATTACACCTTCTGTTTCAATGTAATGTGCAAACAATAACTTTATTATTGAACTTACAAAAACTGTTATTGCATTATTATAGAGTTTCCTAAATATTCATCATTAGAACTAACAGAGAAATCATCAATTATAAAATGAATTTCTTAATTATTCAGTATTTGATATTCTTCCCCCCCCCCTAATCCTAATTACACTTTCTAATCGATTTCGCATGGATCAGATGACTTTTCTAATAAATTCTTGAGGCATTGCTTCCTGTTCATCATTAAGCGCAGCTCTCAATTCTATTATGCTCCTTGTTGCATCATTTCTGTCCCGGGCCCTTCGTTTAAACTCATCCCAAACATGCTGTATTGGATGTATGTCCGGACTTACCGCACACCTATTAATTATAGGTATAACGATTTCAGGTAGATGGGTGGTAGTGACTCGTGCGATATGGCATCGTGCATTAAAATAATGGCATCACCAATAAATCCCGCGTATGAAACCACAAGTTCCTACAAAATGTCTCTGATGTTACGATCCGCCGTTAAATCTCCTCCATGTCCTTCAACATATCTCGTGTCTTCCTGCAGACAAAGGTAATGCCACAGTCATCCTGGATACTCCTTCCTACATAGAGAAAGTAAACGACTTACTTAGGGATACATCCTGTTATAATACAATTTCTCGAGACCCCACTCCTAGAGTCGAACGCGAAATTTCCCATGCCATCAAACAATCCGATCTTTCCGATGATGTTAAGAAGTCCATAGTTCCGAAAAACTCCATCTGCCCCAGAATTTACGGTCTTCCCAAAATCCATAAAGATAACGTACCTCTTCGTCCCATTGTGACTACGATTAACTCTCCTACCTACAAACTCGCAAAGTACTTGTCGAATCAGTTTAAGACCTATACTGGTCGTACCTCTTCTTATGTCCGAAATTCCACACATTTCATCACCTTAATCTCCTCCCTCACGGTCGACCCCCAAGACATTCTCGTCAGTTTCGATGTATCATCCCTATTTACCAATATCCCCATACATGACTCTCTAGTTGTTCTGCGAGATCACTTGACTAATGATAACAAGTCTTTGGTTTTGGCAGATCTTGCGGAAAAATGCCTCCTTTCAACATATTTTTCTTTTAGAGGCAATTTCTACAAACAAATATCTGGAACACCAATGGGTTTTCCCCTTTCCTCTGTCATTGCTGACATTTTCATGGAAGCCTTTGAGTCTTTAGCCCTAGAATCTTACCCCTTAAAACCAAAAGTCTGGTTCCGCTACGTTGATGATACATTTATCATCTGGCCCCATGGTCAATATACTGTTTCCCCCTTCCTAGATCATCTTAACTCACAACATCCGAGTATAAAATTCACAATGGAAGTAGAAAATAATCGGCCCCTTCCCTTTCTCGATGTGTTAGTCACCTCCAAGCCCAATGGCCGATTGGGTCACTCTGTTTATAGAAAAAAGACTCACACGAATCGTTACCTACATGCTTCATCACACTACCATCCTGCCCAAAAGAATTCTGTGATCAACTCTCTCATCCATCGGGCCATTTCGATTTCTGAACCCGACAACCTTAGAGAAGAACTTGGCCATCTGCAAAAAACCCTTGTCGCCAACGGTTACTCCAAGTCCACAATTCAAAATATTACACACCGACATCTACACCCCCCTTTACACCCTAGGACGACAAATCTAGAATCTTCGGGTAATACTCCTGTGGCTTTTCTTCCGTATATTCGAAATGTCACTGATAGGATTGGCAAAATTCTTCGCAAAGAAGGTATCAGGACTACTTTTCGACCACCCAAGAAAATCTCACAATATCTACCCTCTATTAAGGACCCCATTACCGCCCCTATCTTCCTGTGGTGTCTATTCTATTCCTTGTTCATGTGGACATGTGTATATTGGCAAAACTGGTCGTTCCGTCAAAACTCGAATTCAAGAGCATCAAAGATGCATTCGATCAGGTCTTTTTTCCCATTCTGCAGTTGCAGAACACTGCCAAGAAACCGGTCATTCCATATTGTTCGAAAAAACCCATATTATTTCTAAGAGCCCCTTCTTTTATTCCAGGAAAATCCGCGAATCTCTAGAGATCCGAAAAAATCCCCATAATATCAATCGAGAGGAAGGATACTACTTGTCTCTCATCTCAGTCTAGAGCCGCCGTCCGGTCCCGCTACCACGATGCAGCCACATGATTGGCCAGGGCGCGCTTCTTGACGTTCGCGCCACGAAGTGTGCCGATACGTCCCGACACGACAGGTCACCGCGACTATAAATAGAGCGGTAGCGGAGTAATCGTCGGATTCACTCCCCGCCTCTCGACGCGTTAGTGTTCTGAGCTGTTGGACGTGAATCCCTATCCTGGCATTTGGTTTTCACCTCTGGCTGCGTTGAGTAGTTGAGTTACTGTGACCAAATGCCCATCTTGGTAGTTAGTATTCGCCTCTGGTTGCGTTGAGTAACTGAGTTACCGTTGCTAACTACCCATCTTCCTGTCTTTTGTTTTCTTTTTCTTTGTTCTCCTGAAGAAGCTACATACAATTGTAGCCAAACGTCGAGATGAACCCACTTTTGGGTCACTGACAAATGACACGGTCCAAACCCGGAAGACGAATAAACTATAATTCTGACTCTGGCCGTGGAAGCCTACGATTTCATTTTCAAAATGTGATATTTTACTGATTTCATATATTATAAACTACATAGAAATAATATAATTATAAATTTTGCTTAGATTTTGAATTTCTGACCTTTTGTTTAGATATTATTTTTACAAAGACTATATTATGGATTTTGATAATATTACAATTTTATGTAGTGAAAGTAATAAATTTAAAAGAACTTTTTTGGAAATGGTTTGTATTAGCAAAAGTGATAATAATTTAAACAAAAGGTCAGAAATTCAAAATCTAAGCAAAATTTATAATTATATTATTTCTATGTAGTTTATATATGAAATCAGTAAAATATCACATTTTGATTTAATTTTCCATGTATTTGTTACATTTTTTCAGGCATCTGTCAATGTTGAATAAATCTTGATTCTTTTTTGTTACTAAACAAAAAAGAATTTTTAAACAAAATTTTATTTTTGACAATATAATTGTCAAAGATAAAAATTTTTAAGTTGGTATTTATGACATTAAGGCTTATTTGTAACTATTCAATTTTATTTACAAATTCAATTCTTTTTGTTAAGAAACTTTTTCAAAATTAAAATTTCAGAGAAACATTTATTAGAATAGAACATTTTTGTATTAATATTTTTTGTAATATGTTAGCAGCATTTTTTTTATACAAAACTAATTTTATTTGGTGAGTTAACAAAATTTTTTATTTATAGTTCAACTTTGTACAAAGATATTTTGTATTTTTTAGCAGCTTTTGATAATAATTGTAAACACAATTGAAAGCTCGAGTAAAAAATAGTTCAAAAGTAGCCCCTTTTATTGACTCAGTCCATCCAAAACAGTTTTATATTTTTTCCAAACGAGTCACAAGTACTTCTTTTTTCTTACTCTTATACATATATATATATATATATATATATATATATATATATATATATATATATATATATATATATATATATATATATTTATAGTAGTTTTGAGTTTCTTGAACCATATCTTGAACCATGTAACATATCTTTATTGAACCTAACCCAAGAAATATTAATTTTATATTATATATATTATATATATATATTATATATTTGGGGTTATTCTAATTTTTTGACATCGAAAAAACTTTAATCAATTTTCTATTTTTACTTTTTATGTGAAATCTTGGAATTTGCTTATCTTAACGGGCGTACCCTTTAATCTGTCTTTTTGATTGTACAAAGTTATCTCGCAGAACTTATAAAGGTTAGTGTATTTTTATCGAGTTAATGTTATAAGAAATGAACCGTAAGGAAAACAAAAATCGACGGACGGAGATGCATATCCCAAGCGTGGTTATGTGTTACTAAATGGTTTTCGGTTTTTTCGTTTTTTGTCTAGGTGTCGGAGGGTATCGGAGAATTAACCTCGTATGAGGCAATGTTGCCGATTTTAGCGCTTTATGTATCTACGATATCTAATCCAAAACGTAATGTACTTTATAAACCTTTGATACCGATTTGAAAATATATATTTTTTAGGTCTGCCTGCAAGGAATTCCCAAGCTTTAAAGGTCTTAAGTTATCAAATCAGCAGCAACAAGTTCCACAAGCTCCCGATGCTCAGCGAACCGCTAACATACAAAAGTACAGTTCGCTAGGCCGTCGTCCACTACCTCAGACGCCAGACGAGAAAGCAAGGAAGCAACCTCCAGTACCAAGAGTTCCTCCCACGATCTCACAGTGCATCGAGACACCACTGAACCCAGCAAACTTCAGGTCTCTGCAGAGAGGAGCGTGGCAAGATACTCCCAGTTCGTTCCAGCCGAATGTGCAATTCAGATCCCTACAAAGAACTGCAGGGGCACAATTTAGGCCGGCGAAGGTACAAGATCAAACCCAAGGGGAGGTACTGTACGCAAACAGTGAGAGCGAACGACAGTTGTATGCTGTAACTGAGTTATAAGTTTTTAGTTTCTTCTTGGGAAATGCAGGCAGACGAACAATAGTGATCGAGTTATTTTTTATTTTATTTACACATTTTGTTGTTTGTTCTTATTATTATTTTATTCACACGTTTTTTAGTTGTATAGTAGGTCTAATAATCAGTGACCTATTTTATAATCCAGTTAGTAAGATTTGACTGTTTATGTGAGTTGGTATTGAAAATATTTATTTCAATTAAAATTTATCCACTGGATTAATATCGTGAGTAAATGATAAATTTGTTGCGAAATAATTATTTTGAAATAAATATTAAGTGAGAAATTATAAAACTAATTATTATTTAAAAATAAATTTGATAATGTACTATATTGTATTAAGTCGATATTTACTTACAAATTATAGGAATCATCCGTATTATTTACACCGAATCAAATATTAGACAATATTAGTATTTTATTTATCCTATGAACAATATCTTCATAGGATATCGCTGAAAGCAATATCCTTTGAATTGAACAAACATAGATAGGTTTATTGGGGAAAGTGCCATATACAATTTAAATTTATAGTTTGTCTCAGAAATCAATTATAATTACCTACAACGAAAAGAGACACCCAGTCACCCGAAAGAGATAAGTTAAATGGCTACTAGATGTCATTACGGCACTATAATCACATGTTCACTCTAACCGGGCGATGGCATACTTATTTGATAATCGTATTAAATGTGCTTAACTAAGATACATGACGCTTAGCGATGATTAACAATGATTGACTTACCTCTCCGACTTTTAATAGACCCTTTCGATGACGAATCGTGACGATTACAAGGTTTCTACTTCACAATATTCATGCAAGCTAGTAAGGTCGAGTTTGCACGCACTAGACTTTAGATAATTGTTTTAAATATCATTAATATTTGTTTGTGTAATGCGTTGTTACTGTTCAATTTTTAATTGACTTAATATAATTTGGTTAACAATTATTTAAGTGAGAATTCTTAATTTGTTGGATTTTAGTATTTAAATATATTATACCGCACTTGGTCATACGACCTTTGTACCATACTCGTATTTTTTTTCTTGATGAAACTCCAATCAGTCCTGTGACCTCAATGAAGCCAACATTTTCCCCATTGGTGGTTTAATGATGTCTTCTGGTTCAATTCTTAGTTGACCAGTGAAGTCCTGCCTCGTATCACTTAACACATTACAATAGAATAGTATGTGTATGGCAATCTCTTCTTCCATTTCGCCTTTTCCGCACTATGATTCATTCACCTTACGTATTTTAAACAGGTGGTTTCTTAAATCATAATGTCACCATTTTATGACTGTTTTAATCTCTCGTTTACTGAGGTCCATCAAATTGTCCGAGAGTTTTTATCAATATGCTTGATTATTTTCTTAGTTCTGATCTGCCCTTGAGTGGCCCTCCATTTCTTTTGATGATTCGTTATCAGCCAGTTTTGAACCTCGTTTCTTGCAGCATCTTTTGTGATGCCACACACTGGTTCTGGGCCTACAAAGCTTTCTCTCGAGCCTTGTTTTGCCAACAAATCTGCTCGTTCATTCCCATTCACCCCTTCAATACACGGCAGCTATATTAAAGACACTTTAATGCCAGGCCATTGAGGAGATCTTTGCATTTCCTCACCAATTTTGATTTGGCCAGTCTTTATGCCTAGAATAGCCGCTTGGCTATATGTATAAATGTTAATTCTCTTTGCTTTTCAGAGCAAAAATTTCAGGCTAAAACATCTTCTCAGTGAAGATTAGTTCTGGTGTCATCATATTTGAGTTTATCTGAAAGAAGAGTTTCCTAAGTATAGTCAGAGTGGTATTAGGTGACTATTCAATACATAATTCGGCCCCAAGTATTGTGTTCTTTAAGTCTCAAGATGGTAATAAAGGCTACCACCGAAATATATAATTCCAGAGAGGGGAGACCTGTGATAACCTCGAAAGATGCCGCTCGTGTACTATTTAAGGCTCGTGTCACATTTAGAAGCACTTATTTACATATATTTTTTATGTGCTTATTTCAAAACTGTCATCAAATGTTTCCTAATGTATTTAGTATTTCATAAAAGGTGGAAATTTTACAAGTGGAGTTTACTTAATACAAATGTACATTATCAAAGAAGTACTAATTTTTCTAATAGTACTTTTGAACAAATAAAGAACAGTGTAAAATACGGAATATTTGTAACGGTAGATTGTACGTCTAACCTTTATACTGCTCATAATAGAAGTCGTTAGTAATTGTATTTGTATTTGATGTAATCTCATTAAAAGACAAAAAGTAAGTACATTAAGTACAATATAATAAAAAGAGGCAGAGTTATTCAATAATTAAGGAAATTTAAGACTTAATTTTTGTAAGGTGTCTAGACCTTTTTATAAATAGTAGACATGTATAATGGCCAGACATTAAACCTCATTGTTTAAGCTACAGTCCAAATAATAACGTATTAAATACATTAAATATTTGCTTTAATTGAATTAGTTTAATATCATCCACTTTAAATTTTTTTAAAGTTCCAAAGTTCTCATATAGGGTTGGTCATGCAGCTTTAATATTGTTTATTCTCCAATTGACTCTAGGCAAAATCAATTATTCCTTTTTCGTATCTAACAATATATTTAATGGTAGTCCCAATGTGTAAACCATTAAAAAGAATAAAATTGTACAAAATGTTATGTAGCAATTATATAATCAAAAATGTATTTTGTTTATATAATTATTTATGTATTTTGCATGTTTATACATATATATTGGAGACCCACCGCTTTTTAAACACTGTGTGAAGACTAAGAACATTACAGAGAGTCATAGAATGAACAATTCTATGGATTTCTCCGCGAGATAGAATTAGAAACAAAGAGATCAGAAACAAAACCAAAATCACAGGATGTTATAGAAGTGACAAAAATCAAATGACGTTTAGCTGGGCACGGAGCAAGACAATCTGAAAATCGATGGGCTGGTAGACTAAGACAAACAAAAAGAGATAGAGGTCATAAAAAATATGGGTACATAATGTCCGAACGAAAACAATAGATACACAAAGGATAGAGATCTTTGGATAAATTTGAGTGAGATCATTGTCCAGGAGTACATTGTACATTTCGTTTGTAATAGTAACTGACGCCCTTTGAGCTATTATATTCAGTTTTACATTGAATTATCCCATTGAATGTTGACCGTTTTGTTTTGCCTTCTTTTTTGAGATCAAATGCTTTATGATTTATGATTTAACTTAAGCATGTCACAGTTTTAGAACATCTTCATTTAAGGGTTTCTGGTTTGGCTGAATTTCGTTCTGGTCTTGGTATAGTCATCGCAAGGTTCTTTTTCAGTATTTTGTAAATGTATATTGGTCATTTTCATTTAAGAATCATTACTATGATAAACATAAAAGAAAATGAACATCTTAACTTACCGTGAAAAAGTATAAAGTAACCTACTTTACGAGGTCAAAATCTATATGCTACCACATTTTAGCTGAATATAAAAATCAGCAACCAGTATTGAAGCTAGATGGGTCCCAGTCAGATTTCTCAACATCACGCAAGCGTACTTAGGAAAATAAAGCATAACCTAGCTAGGAAATGTAGTTAAGAAAGAAATGAAACCCATCTTCACTTAATGAAGTGTATTCTATCATGCCAGTTAAATGTAAAAATATATTAAACATCTGCAATCACAATTTTTGTTATTGCATACCCAGCAGGAGCGTACAGTTTTAGAATTCTAAACTATTTTACGTACATACGTAGGTGTGCTTTGTTTCTTTCTGATATTTCTATTTTCTTAATATATATATATATATATATATATATATATATATATATATTATATATATATATATATATATATACAGTCAAAATCGTTTACAACGACACCGGCTATAACGTACAATCGGATATAACAAACAAAATAGTAGGTCCCATAAAATGACATACAAAAAACGCAAATATTGGTTACAGCGTACATCTTAATAAATAAGTTTAAAAGTGCTGTCCTGTAAAGTTATGAAAATGGACATTGTAGTGTTGTATTTCTCACAGGTATTACCGATATTTAATACCACGAAATGAGAAGTAAGGATTTATTAATTTATGGTTATTGTACATCCGGACAGGCATCTACTGTCCTTTAGACAGTTAGACCTCCCAAGATGGGTCCATTGTATTACAAAATTTTGTTTATACATATTTCACCATTTGGCCTAAGCCAAGAGTTTCTGAATTTGAATTCAGTTGTGTCTAGCCTTCATTGAAAAAATGTTACGGAAACAATTTACTATTGAGGAACAGTTTGGAATAATTTGCCGAGTCGATTCCGGAGATTCCGCGAGTTCGATGGCCCGGGAATTTAAAACGTCACGCTCGACAATTGCTGGAATAATGAAAAGGCGAGAGAAAATAATTAAGCAATTTAATAAGTGTGAAAAAGGAAAACACGTTCGGTCATCAAATTACAGTGACATTGAAAGTGCTTTGCTCGATTGGTTTAAACAACAACGCGCAAACAATGTACCCGTGAGTGGGCCGATGCTTCAGGTAAAGGCTGATGCTTTCGCTGTGATTTTGAAGAAGAATTTTAAGTGTAATGCTTCCTGGGTTCAACGTTTTCGAGCTCGCCACAATATTGTCCATGGAAAAATTTCAGGTGAGTCAGCAGTTGTTGACAGATCAATTATAAATGACTGGGTTGAAAATGTATGGCCTACACTCAGGTCCGACTATAGCGATGATGAAATTTTTAATGCTGACGAGATGGGGTTATTTTTTAGACTGACACCTGATCACACGTTAAAGTTTAAAGGCGAGAAATGTTCCGGTGGTAAACTCTCAAAAGAGCGTGTTACAGTTCTTGTTGCAGCCAACATGTCCGGTTCCATAAAAAGGAAGCTTTTGGTGATAGGAAAAAGTTGATGACGTCAGCTATTTTTGAAAAGACTTTACTAAAATGGGACAGTGAACTTTTACAACAAAAGAAACACATAATTTTAATTGTCGACAACTGTCCGTCCCACCCCCCAGTTGACAGGTTAAAACAAATTAAACTCGTTTTTCTGCCTCCAAATTGTACGTCTGTACTGCAGCCCATGGACCAAGGAGTTATAAGAAGTCTTAAAGCATGCTTTCGGAAAGAATTGGTGTACAAAATCATCGAAAAGAGAGAGAATAACGACGATACGAAAGTCAGTATTCTTGACGCTGTACTAATGATATCAAAGGCATGGGAATCTGTGCGGAAGGAAACGATCATCAACTGTTTTCGTTTTTCCGGCCTAACTAAAGACTTACAACAGTAAGTCCATTTGCAGGATGCTATTTCCCTTTTCAGTTCTGACTGCTCTGCAGATGACTATGTACGAGTGGATGACGAAATAAGTACGAGCGAAGAACTCTCAGATATTGACATCGTACTAAGTGACCAAACTAGTGACAAACAAAGTACTGATGAGGATGATGAAGAATTGGAAGATTTCGGCAAAATCCCTACTGTTGCTGAAGCGTATGCTGTTTGTTCCACCATACGAGCATTTATTCAGACTGCTGAAACTTCCCAGAGTGTAAAAGAATCATTATCGATTGTTTCCACATCAATTGAAAAAATGTTTTTTTCAGAAGTTCAAGGAAGGCGACAAACAAAAATTACAGACTTTTTTCATTAAATATTCAGGTAAAATGTGTTTACATATTTTGTAATACATATATGTATGTATTTTTTTGTCTTTTTAAAATAAATAGTATATGTATGCCTACATTTTTATAATACGAAGATTTGGAGAAGCCGTTATATTACGTGTATACTTTATTCACTACTTATACTTATTTCAATACATATTATACATATATGTATGTACATATTTAGATTTGCTTAAGTACAATAAACACATATGTTAAATGTTATGTATATGTTATTATAACATATTATAAGTATAGTTAAAGTAACACATTTTTGCGTCATAACCCTAGGTACAACGAACTAACTGTCCCTATTAGTGTAATATCGTTTATAGCAACCTGTTCATTATAACCGATAGAACTGCTTACAGAGAACACTGGCTACAACGTACAAAAAGCACCAGTCCCCTGAAGTTCGTTATAAACGATTTTGACTGTATATAGTTTTTGATGTTTTAATCTGGAGAACTTTTTTTTATTTTACTTTGAATTTACATGAAAAAATGATAACAGAATATTGACTAACCTTATACAGATATCTGATAAGCTCAACAATATTTAGTGTCAGCCATAATCAAATAAACCTATCTTTTTATACGTCTACACCAAGATCTTAAAATTTGATTTCAAGGATAGTTTAAACTCATATTAATATTGAGGTGATATATATTTTGAGATCAAAATGTTACCAATACTAAAACATTCCATCAACTATAGACTGTTCCTATTCGAATAAAAATGTACAATTTCCAAAGTAGAATGAATTTTGCCAAATTTTTGTTAGCCTTCACTTTTATAAATGCACTTTTATACATTTTTCTATTTGTGATTTTTTTACTTTTGTTTATCATGTATAAAACATTTACACAGATTCGTTTCCAAACTTATTTTATTTCAAATAATATGATGTATGTCCCGAAAGATTTGAAAAAACATTTAGATCTTATTAATAGCAGCCCTAATGGCGAAAAAGATTAGTAATTCTCTTTGATACTTACCTTGTACATTAAAAATATAAACAATATTTTTAATATAAAATGTTAATTCATTTTTTACTCCAAAAATTGTGTTAATTGCTAATTTGACAGATCCATAGATAATTTTGTAATTTCTGCATCACATTAATCAATTTGACATATTGTTGCAACACCTGCAAAACGTCTCAAAACCTATTTTGACAAATTGAGTTTAGTTCAAAATTTAGGTCGCAAACGTCTAAAAACCCCATTTTGTGTTGGTATAAGTAATAAGAGTGTCTTCTTCTTCAGCCACTTTGTGTCGACTTTGCACTATTTGAAACCACATATTTCCTGCATACTTTTTAATATCATCCATCCATCTCTTTTTAGGTCTTCCGACCCTGGTGTATTAGATGCCATCGTAAACTTTTGGGGGCTGATTGGTCGATAGATTTCTATATTACTATTATCCTCTTTCTTAAAAAAGCAGAATTACTTTAGCTTTTTATCGCTTATCCGGAATGCTGTCTTCCTGCAAACATTTATTAAAAAGAATTTGCAGAGATTTTTGGATGACTGATCCTGCCATTTTTAACATTTTGCATGTAATTTGGTCTTCTGGGCTTTTTTATTTTTTACTTGTTTAAGAGCAACCTATATTTGATAGTTCTGGAATATCTTCAGAATCTACGTTGCAGATATCCGCATTCGCAACTGTTGGGTCAGTAGAAATTAAGAATATATCTAAACCAATATTTTTATCAAAATCTTTTTTTCTATCCACTATAAATCTCCTCTATTGAGGAGGGCATTGTAGAGTGCAACATGGACCTTTG